GGGGGGGGGGGAATATGACACAAGGGGAAGCTTATCTTCAGTTTTTCTCACAGGGTAATAAGATAGAAGACCTTGGACTCTGGACCCAAACAGACGTGGGTTAGAGTCCTGGCTCTGTTACTTCCCAACTGTATGACGTTGAGTAATTCACTTCTGGGCCTCAGTTTCCTCACCTTAAATGAGAGTAATGAGAGCACTTACCTGATGGGGTTATTCTGGAAATTAGATGCATCAGAGCAGTGAAAGTGCTGAGCACACAGGTTGACACACAGCAAGGCCTCCACGTTGGCTGTCATTGCTGTTCCTCGTAACATGGCAACAGCAAGCCTGAGAGGGGCTTACTGGCCTTGTAGAGATGAGAAAAATAAAAAAAGTTTGAGTAGTCATAGCGCAATTGGTAAAGTGCTTTACAATTTGTGTGAAGCATTTCACATGCATCGTCTCCTTTAAGGACCAAAGGGCTTGCCCCTGGTCCACTCCACAGCATTGATGATTTTGTGCAGATTGTACCCGAGGAGGTTTGGAGTTACCCAGGAATCGCAGTGTGTGTAGACCCCAAAGAGAAGGAAGGTCAGGGCCTTTGCATCTTGGCAGAAGAGGAGCTTGGAACAAGGAAAGGAAGGAGGCCGCTGGTCCATGCTGCCTGTTCCTTGCTGTCTACAGGAGGAGAATTCCACAGGACGCGGAACCGTGTGGTGGCTAAAGGCAGCCGCAAGCACCAGACCGCCCGCGGCTGACGTCTGCCGTGTCATTTCCCGCTTTCCTCATCTGTACATTGGGACGGTGACAGTACCCGCTTCACCGAGCTACGATGAGGCTCGAATGAGCTAGGATATGCAGACAGCGTTCCGAGTGGTACAGAACAGGCACTTAGTATTAGCTCAAGATTCCTGTCCTGCAATAATGTGTCAGCCCCAGTGTGATAGGAGAACTTACCCATTTCTTTGCTAGACTTTTCCACCTAGATGCCCCATAGGCACTAGAAACAGCATGTTCAAAGCTGAACTTACCATTTCCCGCCAGACCTGTCCCTTATGTGTTATTCCTGACTTTCATGAATGGCACCACATCACCCAGGCACTCGAACCAGAAACCTGGGAGTCAAGCCAGGCTCCTTTTACCTGCTCCCCTGCACATATAATCGCAGACCAAGACTAGTCAGTTTAGCTCCTTAAGATTCCTTCTGTCTCATCCTGCCATTCCACTGTTGTTGCCTCATCTCGGGCCCTTATCGTCTCCTGCCCTGTTTATGCAGCAGTCTCCTTACCCTTGTGGACACTGATCTCATCTGACTCCAGTCCTCAGTCCATTCTCCCTGAGGCTGCCACAGGGACCTTCCTGCAATGCAAAACAGATGCTCTCCCCCCCACCTTAAAACCCTTCCTCAGCTCCCCCTTGCCCACCAGGATAAAGTGCAAACTCTGTTAGCATGGCACAGCAGATCCTTCAGGATGTGCCCCTGCAGACCCTCTGCCCTCTGTCCCCTCACACCCTTCATTCCAGCCCTTCCCCGGTAGAGATGGTTCTCAGATACCATGGGGAGCCTCCACATCTTTGCCTCACCACCCTGTCTGCCTGGGACATTTGTCACCCAGGCCCCTTGCTCGTAATTCAAAACTCTTTCCAAGAATTCCTTCTCTTTGGATTGGAGAGAAGGTAGGATTGACCATTCTCTGCTCTCACCACAAGTGTCTGCATCCCTGCTCCTGCACCTATAATAACTGATGCCTCTTGGCATGACTTCTTTTCCTACTGGGCCAGAAAGCCATTTGTGAGCAGAGATCAGGTGACTCTTACCTCTAGTCCTAGCCCCTGGCCAGTGCCAGTGTCCGTAGCACATGCTAGTGCCCAAGTAAATTAGTCTGACAAGTATTTCAACTAGCTGTGAGGGCTGTGCATTTAGAGTTAGATTTCATGTGTGTTTACTATCAAAGTGCATTTATGTGTATTGTCTCATTTAATCCTCTGACAACACATGAATGAGGTACTACTATTATTATTCCCATTATACTGGGCAGAGAAAAGTTAAATAAACTGCCCAAGGTGACAGAGCTGGGAAGTAGCAGGGCCAGGACTTGAACTCCACTCTTTCTTACCCCAAATTGACTACTCTGTCATGCCTCCATCTCCCAGTAAACCAACCCCTTGAGGAAAAATGAAATATTTACAGCTTTTCACAAAGCTTGCTTTCTAGAACATTGTGGGAAACTGGGATGTGTAGCCTGAGCAGGAGAGGAATCCCGGGGGCCATCCTAAAGGCAGGAGAGGCTCCTGGCTGGAGAGCTCTCAGTGAGAATAGAAGATTGTGGTTTGCTGATGGTTTTTGAAAGGTATTTAGGTTTAATGTGAAACAACAAAATCACTGAAAGCGATTTACAATTTATTACTCTCAAGTCTTCATGTTTCAAGAAAAGCCAGTGGATCTGTTCCATAGCCCATTTTAAATTCTCTTCCTAACTTACCCTCCCAAACTTCTTTTTGGCCTTGTGCAATCTCTATATTAAAAGGGCATTGTTTCGTGATTTATTATACAAGTCAAACCTGCCTTGCTATTGCTTCACCCAGTTAATAACAACTATAATGTTAGACCCAGCCTTGTGCAAAAGCCACAAATGCTGGGTATGAACACCGTCATTGCAGTTTGGCTGAAATCTCATGGGACGGTAAAATTTACACCTTCAAGGAAAGCAAATTGTTCACCTGGAATTTAAGGTGATTTTTTCCCCTCCTAATTGAGCCAGGAAACTATTCAAAGTATGTTTGTAATCTGCTTATCACTCCCCGCTTTGCCTGCTCTCATCCAAGAATGCACAAGAGCCCTTAGTTGGCTGTGTGTGGAGGGTTCTGGAATGAAGTACTCACACATCACTCGCTGTCACTGTGGTTTCATTTACACGGCTCCATGGAGTGGCTTAAATTGTTAGTGTTTTCTCTTTAACTTGGTGTAGATAAGTTAGGAATTGTATTTAATATCTTATACTTAAAAGGCATTGCATAAAAGGCCCTTGGGGTCAGGTAGGTGTTTTAAGCCCACCCAAAAGAGTCTTTTTGTTAAATAATTTGAATACTAGAAAATTTTCTGAGACCAGTGAAATTCTTTATTTAGTACCAATACTCTGAATTTAATTTTGCCTGTTGATTCTAACTTTGTAAAGAAAAGGGGAGAGAAGGAAGGAAACTAGGGTTTGTAAGCATTTATGATGTGTTGGGCCCCGCAGTTAACCTACATCATTTAATCCTTAACTTAAACTACAGGGCAGGTAATGTGATGTCCTTCCAAGCTGGAGGAAACGGAGTCCATAGTGCAGGGCTGGGCTTGAGACCCAGAGCTGTGTGGCTCCAAGCCTGTCCTCTGCCTCCACCACGACTGTACTCTCCAAATCCAAATCTCTCATTCTGGAGAACTGTTTTCCAGCTCTGCTCCTTCCATAGGTCTTGTTCCAACATTAACTTTGCAACTTTAAAATAACCTAGCATGAAGGATCCATATGAGGACACATAACAGCGTTTTCTGCCCAGAGTTCTTGGTTCTCAACTGGAACCTCTGGCAGGTTCCAGCTGAAGCAAAGAAAATTAGGTGGAGAGAAAGGCCTTTATCCAGACAGCTGAAATTGGGTAGAAACTGTTGAGGGCATGGAAAAGGTGCTGGTAAACTCCTTTGGGAGGTCAGAGCTAGGAGTGGTTTTTCTCTGCTTAGAGGTGAGGAGAAATTTGGAACAATTCAGGGAGGAAATAGCATTTAAACAGGCCTTGGCCTTGAAGGATGGGGGGAAACTCATTTCAGGCAAAAAGGAAACTGTGAACAAAGACACAGAGGCAGGAAAGTGAGTACATTGGTGGGAAATAGGGTATTAATAGTGCTCTATTAGCAACAACTTACTCTTCATAAACAGCACTGGGGCTCAGGTATCCACTACAAAACAGCGCATTTCCTGACCAAGTATATTACAGTTAGCTATTGGTGGAGAAGCAACCTGCAAATGATACGACACATCTGGAAATTCTGCCTTTTGCGCGGCATATATTTGCGTAGAAGTGGTCATGTTAACCGGTGTTGATTTTGAGATCCTGTTTCATTTTGCTTCTGCAGAAGGAAACTCCGCTTGCCAACGCTGCCTTCTGGGCCGCGAGGAGAGGAAACCTGGCGCTGCTGAGGCTGCTGCTGAACAGCGGGCGGGTGGATGTGGACTGCAGGGACAGTGTACGGAGGCCCTCGGGTATTCGCATGCCAAGAGCACGCCATGCCCCCCTTGGCATGAGCGCACGTCCCGAACGCGTTTCCCCGCGGCGCTCACCTACTCTTTCATGAGTTCGCTTGCTCTGTCCTTCGCAAAAAGCCCAAGGTCCCCTGCTGAGCTTTAAAATGTCCTGGGGGGACAATTACACGCATAAAACAGAAGGAGGCCACAGCAGGGAAAGAGATGCTTCACCAGGGATCAGAATCGGCAGATTCCAAGAAGAGATGGGTATTTAGTCAGAGAATTCAAACCAGCTGCTTCCATGAAAAGGTGGAGATAACTTAGAACAGTCGGGGGCTGCCGTGGAGGTGAGAGTTAGGATTTTTTTCTACAAGGCTGAGAGAATTGAGAAATGGGAGCCTGCCCCCCCAGCCCCTCATTCTCTCATTACCTTTGCAAACATCAATACACTAATTGTCAGTTAAGGGGAACTAAAAAGAGACACTGCTGCCCACTGGCAGGCGTCGCTAAGACTAAGCCCCTCCCTCCGCAGCTAGAGGTAATGATCTCTCTGTCCTCAGCAGGACTTCCCCACGTCTCTGGGGACAAGAAGGACCTCAAATGAGAGAGAGAGAACACAGAGATGTTTTGATTTTAGGATTTAAATAAAAATGTTTTTCAGAGGAGCCTTATTGTTTTTCTGAAAACAGGATGTGCTGTTTCCAGCTTTTATTGCACAAATTTGGTAATTGAGCTCAGCCACCAGCCGGAGGGAGATATCAGCATGTGCTCCAGTTCACCCCCCGGGGGCATCAGTACTGGGTATCTTGGGTTTGCACCTCCAGATCCACCCACACCCTTCTCCAGCTTCCCCTGTGTCCCAGCGTCTGAACTGTGTGCCCTGTCCCAGTGGACTCACTTCCCTCTGGCCTCCAGTTGGGTTTGGCCAATGGGAGCATTGGCAGGAATCAGAGGTTGGAAGGATGGGGATGTTGGGGAACCCAGTGCCCCCTCCCCGACTGCTCTGTCTGGCAGTAGCATCCTGGGAGCCACTACCTTCCCCTCCTGCCTTCAGCCTGGGCTGGCGGTGGCGCCCCCGTTACTAGCTCCCAGTGCTACACTGCTCCTTATAGTGTCCCTACACCCAGGCACGGCTTCATAAATAGCCTGTTTGTTAAACTTTCTCCCAATTATCCCAGTTTGAATGTACTGCCTGTTCCTCTCTAGGACCCAGACTGACAATGGGGTCTTGGGCATCTGTGTCCTGGCCGCCCTGGGAGATCTTGGGTCTTCGTGAGCAGTAGAGCCACACTGGGCAAAACTGGAGCAGGGACACTGGTTTTTATTGTGGCCTCATCTACTCACTCGTTGAGGACCACTTTTCCCCTTTTTCTTAAAGCCACTCCTTTTCAGACACCCCTAAAACTTTCTCCTGACTTTCAGCTTCCCAGGGTCGCCTCATAGCGCCACACATGTCCTATCCCCCAGACAGCTCCCCTCTCAGCTTCTTCAGTGCCCTTTCCCCATCTGAGGTCACCTCCTACCATCTCCTTTTTCCAGAGAGCCCACACTCCATCTCTCTCTGTCTGCTGGTGACCCAGCTATTTTGATTAAAAATGCTTCTATGAATAGATGCTGATATGTTTTTAGGTTACTCCCTGTTTAAAACAAAAAGTCATTTCATCAGGAGTTTTCAGGAGAGATGATTCTTTAACCCAAAGGAGCAAGCCTAAATGATGGTAATTTCAGGCGCTCTTTTATTCTGAAAGAGTTTCTAAGATTAGTGGCGACTGAGGGGCAGGGAGATGCTAGGGAAGGTGCAGGCCTTTGTTCCCTCCAGATTTCCCCGCGTGGGTTTCTGCCTCCTCCACATGTCACCTGAACATGGAGTCTGGGTGCCAGGATGGTTTCTTCTTATAGTGAGTGATCTCTAGGCTAGTATTGCCCTTGCCAATGGGGCCGGTCCTCAGGGTCACCTAGGACACCTGTGAGAGCTCATCAAATGCAAGGAGAGGCCCCAGGCCTTTGCTGGGAACTGCTCCTAACCTCAAGTATGACCACGTTCAAACTTCTCCAATAAACAGCTTTGTAAAGAACAAATATACGTTATCTCTGGGCCACCTGCAACAGGCAGCACTTTGGTTTGCTAACATTGATTCATCTTCAGTTTCTAGATTAATGCTGTCTTTAATGATGGTTACAGTTTTTGCTTTGCTCATCTCTCTGACACTTTTACCACAAAGATGTGCAGTGGTGAGGTTATTTTAGTCTTCTTAGACATATGAATGTGTATACATCACCACCTTGTTGGTTGTGGTCTACACTACATTTATATCCACTATGTACTCTGTTCAGAATCCGTCTGTTTGAAAGATACATTTTAACATCAGGTAATGAAATGAAGTAACCTTAATCATTAGAGAATTAAAAGCAATCAAGCCAATAGGTTTTGAATAGAAAGTAAGTATTTCTGTGTAGCTTAAGTCATCAACAGATACGACTTCTTTATTTTCCCTTCTTCTCAACCTCTGACTTTTTCTCAATTGACAATCATGTAGAATTGAAATACAGTTTATAAAAAAAGCATTTTTGTTATTTGTTTCATTCATTTCTCCCCCCCCCCTTTAATACAGATGAGCCTAACATTTTTTATTTTCTTTTTTAAATATCCAAATTAAGTGCTCTCTGCTGCCTCTGGATCATGATTTTTATTTTGACGCCAGTGTGGCCCATGATAAAAACATTTTCTTGCCTCTCATGTAAAGAATATAGTCATAGCTTGTCTGTTTAGACTGGCTTTAAATCAAGGTTTCTTCTATCCACAATCTAAATAAAAATTGCTTGCATTCAAGAGGAAGTTAGTAATACCAAGCTTGCCACTCCAATCTTGGAAAATATGGAGGAAGGAGTTCAACTGAATAATGGATGGTACAGCCTACATGAAGGTCTTGCATTGAAATACCAAGTAGAGTCACATGGAGTACAGAAAGTATCGTAGAGCACTTCTATGAAGTCATTAGCTTTTCTTGACTACCTATACCTTCTACTTATAGCAAACAAGACTTCTAAAAGTAGCATTGTCATTCACAGAAGTCAACAAAAGCCAGATGATAACATTTACTGAACTGTCATAATATTTTAATATCTAACATTTGCTGAATTAATATCTAACATTAATATGATAAGCCTGTTGCCTAAATTATCTTTTTCCCATTTAGTTTAATCAGGCAGATACTTAAATTATTCCTCATTTTACAGATAAGGAAAATAAGCCTTTGAAATGTTAGATAACCCACCCAAGGTCATACTGTCAGGGACTACTGAACTCTACTGCCTTCCTATAAAATCCCACAGATGTAAATACCACGACACTCCTAAGAGTCACTTATCCCCCGTCCTAGAGAGCCTTCCTCATGTGCAAAATTGCACATCTCTTATCACCCACTCCTGGAAGGCAGGTTGCTGAGTATGCAGAGGTGGTGGTTCAGATTACAATTTCAACCCTGGGAAAAACTATGAATTAACTACAAACATTCACTTGAATTGGAGGGTCTGTATCAGATACACCTCAAGTCCTTGAATCTGAAAGCTGAAAGAGACCTCGGTGATCACCTTGTCCAACCTCATATTAAAGATGAGATAAATGAGCCCCAGGAATTGGAAGCAACTTGTCTCAGTTACACTGTTGGCTAATGACAAAGGTCGACGTGGACCCAAGGGCTCCTGACTTGCTTCTGTAGTCTCTTATTTCATCACAGTGCCTTTCATCTCTACCTGAATCAGTTTGAAGATAAAGACTTCTAAACCCAGAAAGCCATTTAACCCATTTTTTGCATCAATAGCAGTATTTTGGCTCAAGAATCATTTAATATGAACCATAAAATGAGACCATTACATGACTGCTGCTTTAAAATGCAGTAACCATGGTTCTCTTGGACTGCATTCTGAAGGTAATGGAAGAAGTCAATTTTTAAATTGAAAATTCCAGCCTCAGCAATTGTAACTTTGCTTCTCCCC